TCGACTGCATATTAAACGAAGATGTGCGAAAGAGGTTATGTAATTGGGTGTCAAAAGCTATAAAACTACGTTGACTTGGAAGAAAACATGCTATTCAGTAAAAGAAGCTATAGTAGCGAAAAACTTAAACAACAATTTTACGTTTTCCTAGATAAGGTCACATAATTTCGAAATTGTTAATTTTTCCAGTCAGTTAAAAGTCTTGTAACGAGTGGGTCTCGGCTTATAGCCGAGTTTGGATTCATCTTTCGTTCTTGGTTATGCTGATTCTACGAGTTAAAGTTTAGTGTCTCGGCTTATAGCCAAGATCCGCGGCCTTTAGCCGAATAAATACGGTATCTGCTCGATGGAGATGATTATGATGATTATAATAACGTTACGTGTTAGAACAGCACCATTTAAAATATGAGTAATATGTAAAGCATTACTAATATCTGTAAACCTACTTCTTGTGTGCTACTGGCACGAGTTACTAGATCTAGTATACTTTTACAAGGCTACGCATAATATGATTCACTTAGATCCGTCTGTTGCATTGTTCCCGTCGAGCGCGAATCCGTTCGAAGGACCGGAATATTCGTAACGAGCTCTCAATCTTTTGTGCCTAGAAAATGCAGGACTTCTACCTTTCAGAAATCTTTTTTCATTAGAACCACTAGAATCTGGAACCTGCTTATTACCAGACTTGACCTAGATAATGTTACTTTTGAGAACTTTAAATCTGTTCTTTACGGTTATTACTCGCGGGCTCTAGCAATAAACTATGACCAGGACTCTCCAAGGAGCTTCAAAACTATTTGCTTGAAGTGTAACAAGACCAGGTTCTTAGACCAAGAAGTTATTTGCTGCATGTGATTTCAATTGCTACTTTTATATTTTTTATTTTGGGTCCGTAGCAATTGGCTTTAGCTGTTCCGGTGTCCCTGCCCAAATTATTTGAGTTATTATTAGTGTATTGTTACGTTCTCGTCACTAGTATTTGCATATCTTCAGTGTTTTTGTATTCATCAGGGCAAAGCTAATAAAATAAAATTAAAAAATAAAATGATCAGCTACCCTGCTTACCTTCCTAAATCCTTCAATTGGATGGTCGATTCAGAATTGTTTGCAGTGTTAAATGGCAAAAAAAAATGGTTTGGTGCTGATTAAGTTAATTTACATTTAGCTGTCTTGTCTGGAAGCTTCATTTATGAAAAGTTATGTCTAAGAAAAGTCAAATCATCCGTGTACTGGGGTAATTAACATTGAGACAATAAGGAAACTTTAGTTCTCAAGGACTGTATTTCTCTGAATATAAATTTGAATATGAGGATTCTTCAAACACAGACCAAAAAAGTTCAGTACTGTAGTTTAGTTTTGGAAGAAAGGACCAACGCTACAAAATAGATCCTAGTAGTTTTCTTGACAGCCGCTCGGGCCAGAGTCACGCAATGCTCCCCGCCCACGTGGAGACTAAAACCCTAGCTCACCTTGACCTCTGGTTCAAGCGCCACAGAACATCACATTATAGTCTGTTCCAGGCGTTCAGATAGAGGGGACAACGATAAGAAAAGTGCGTAGAAAAAAGCTACGAGAGAAGCAACTCCTCTCCCCCTCTTCATTACTTCGGCGCTTTCCCTCCGCTCTCTATTTCGCGCCTCTCTCCTTAGCCTGCGAAAACATCCGTTTCTCCTCGCTCTACGCCGCTGGGGACATTTCGCGAGGTCCCAGCGGCGAAGAGCGACGAGAAACGGATGTTTTCGCAGGCTACTCTCTCCTCTATATGAGCGCCTGGAACAGGCTCTGAAATAACGTTTGGGACTCTAACGAGCTGGCCAAAGAATTGTCCTCGGTCACCATAGAACTAGACTACGAGTAGTACCCCATTTTTCCTCAGGGATAGTAGAGCGAGCGAAACGCGAGCGCGTGTAAAAATCAGCCCACGCGAGAAAGGCGAGACTCGGTGGCGTTTTCTCGCGTGGGGTGATTTTCACGTGCGCTCGCGTTTCGCTCTCTCTACTATCCCTGAGGACAAATGGGGGACTACTCATAGTCTACCACAGAACAGGAAAGTATCTTTTTTTTCATATCGAGTGGTAAAAAAAGAGTACGACGAACAGCAAGAAAGTGCTAATTCCAGTCATTGTAAATTAAAGTGATTTATACCGTACAACATATCTTCTTTCTAAAGAGAGCTTTGCGCATCGGAATACAAGTCACGTCTCTGTAAAATCAAACGCTGAAAATCGTTTATTTAAAGCGTGACAAATTAAGGAGTGTCTGGCTGGTAATTAGCTGTTTTTTTAATCAACTTTGCCATGGATAAGTTGAAAGCCCCAGTGTTTAACCTTGGGTCTAATGTTCAAAATTCTGCATAAATATGGCGACCACCAGTGCTGCATGCAGAGATTGCCAGGGAAAAGAAAACCATGTGAAAACAAAACGATAGATTCTGCCCGAGTGTTAAGCGTTGGAGGAAAGTTGGTAAATTTGACTTCTTTTTGTGGGCCGTTATGTGCTTCACAGTCACTTTACTACATATATAGTAACTCATTTTTCCGTTTAAAAAACTGCCCCCGAAATAGCCAATGCAAGCGTAATCATAGTCAAAGACAGAGCTGAGGAAGTTAATTTTAGATTTGATAGTTTTACAACACTTACAGTAGTCGTAGAATTCTGCGTTTTCAACCAGCCAGGCTATGTAGCATATGCAACGATGCGGAATCGAGTCCTTTTTGATGAAGGTTCTCGGTTTAATCTGAAGGCTACCAGCTACTACTCCACGGAATTACGGTTTTTTAAAACGAATTTTGTCGGCTAATGATGTAGTCTCCGACCCATTAAAAGCCCAACAGGAAGTTTAAAGTTGTGATCAGTGGTTGTGATATTACATGTTACGACAGGAACCTCAAAAGATCATGGTCTACGCTGCAAACTTCTACGGGTAAATCCTGCATGTGCAAATCAGACGCAGTAGGAGAAAGGTCCTTTTCAGCGGCACGTAAGTTAAACACGTGGCTCTGCTCAACAATGACTCAAGAAAGGTTCAGCAATCTTAAACAGCCACAAAAAGAGAACAGACAAATTTGCCTTGCCGAAGTAGCAAATATTTTAAAATTTGCTGTTCGTAACTATAAAACCGGAAAAAAAAAATTTCGGTATATAGAGTCCACCCTCCCCCCTCCTCCCCCTTTCAAAGGAAGTAGTCACCGGCCCCCACACTTTAAAAATTGCTCGTTCCGTGGGCCTTGCAAACGACTGAGCAAAGCAACTGGTAAAGTATTTTATTGGTAAATTACTAAGAAAACTTTGAAAAGGGAATATGACTGGCCGGAAACCGCGCATGAAAAGGCCTGGTATACGGACGAGATAAAATGCTTACCTTCGGAATTATAATTATAGGAAATCTCCCCAGTTAGTAATGGTAACAGGACTGAGTGGAGTCCAATTCGGTCTGATATACTACTTCATGAGAAATTTCTGCAATTTGATTGGCTGAGAGAAGTGGTATTTCAGCTTAATTTGGAATACCTACATGTGGAAATTGCAAACCTTTTGCGGGTAGTAGTATAAACAAACTTGAATAGCATGAGTTGTACGTGATATTTGGCATAAAGACCACTCGTGATATTTCTAAATTGTCTCAAATTTCACTCGCCTAACGGCTCGTGAAACTACGTATACAGGACGTGTAACAATTTCGAAATATCACGTGTGGTATTTATGCCAAATATCACTACTAATCATGCTATTACCTATACTAATCATACGAGTGATAAACAAAATCGGACGACCGCGTAACGGGAGTCCAAGTTGTTTAATCACTAGTATGATTACAGACCGACACAAAGTTCTGTTACCAATTACGGTAATCATAACTTTAACAAAATTTGTGATATATTAGGCTCCTTTTTTAATCAAAACACAAGAAATTCCAAGACCTTTTTTTGGCCAGCAGTGAAAAAAAACTATTTAAGCGCGCGTGTGGTTGCGCGTACTGTCCAATTACTTAGGCATGACGCGTACTGTCCTATTTTAAAATAGCCTGCGTGTCCCCCGGCCCTTCCCCTTTTAACGCCTGCCAGGCAGGCTAATTTTAAAACTGTCTAAACTCGGTATTAAACAGATGTTTCTGTTGGTTTCCGTCCGCCATGTTGGTTCTCATTCGGATGGGCACATAGCCTGTTCCAGGCGTTCAGATAGTTGGGAGCGGTACGAAGTAAAAAGGAGCGCGAAAAAATAAAAGCGAGGGAGGGGGAGAGGTGAGCCTCTACTTTTCATCGTTTTCTTTACTCCGCACCGCTCTCCACTATCTGAACGCTTGGAACAGGCTAATGGGCACATGGTTCTTGATGGGCACCAGCATGGCGTCTCCATACAAATCGCTATTTTAAAATTTTGTGAAAACATTTCCTCGGATATCTTGTATACGAAATATTCCTCGGACCTGAATCTTGGCGAAGGTCTTTGTATATTTACCTCCTTTCATTTCCCAGATTCTGGACTTTATCTATTCAACGGTTGTGATTTTTATTTTGAATGGCGAGACACTGAAAACCAGCAATTAAGGCTGAAATAGCCAATCAGATGTTAGAATTTTGTAGATGTAGCCTGATGAAGCCCCAATGACGCCCTGGGTGGGAGACGTTCCTGGCCCCACTGCCAGGGGCCCCACCGGCCCTGTCGACTCCGGCGGAGTAGCCACGCGAGTATCAGGCCTACCTTAGAGGGTAGGGGAGGGAAGTTGGTAACGCTTATCCTTACCAAACGGAACACAAGCTCGTCACGTTGTAATGTACCGCTGGATGGGGTCGCATTTTCACAAAATTAATAGGGTTACTAAGATGGGGTCGCACTTTTCGGATTTTTGTGAAAAGGTGAAAAGACTGTAAAAAAAAACCCTTGAATTGTTCTTAGCCTGCGAGCAAACTGACCAAACTCTCCGGGGCAGGCTAATTTGTTCTTTGCTCCATGCTAAAAAGCTACGGTAAGGTCGCAGTTATCGAGAACATGTGTTCGAACTCTGCATATGATGTGTGCGTTATCGGAGCCGGAGTAGTTGGAAGTTCGACTGCTCATTACCTCGCCTCCAGAGGACAAAATACTCTTCTGTTAGAGCAAGTAAGTGTCATCTTGCTTTCCCTCAATTCTTTAGCTCTCAATAGAGATTGGTAAAAAAATCAATACACCTTATTTCAAAATGGTGACAAATATGACTTTTTGTCTCCTAAATTGCAGGCTCACAATTATATCTCGTTTCAAAGCCAGCTGAAGTTGTTATGATTCTGCTTGGCTTACGATATTGAACAAAACGAAGCAATCTTTGACCACAAACAGCTAAGATATAGGCGGCCGTCTTGTTTCGCTAGGAGGCTCATTTGGTAATTGACTAAACAATACTCTCATTTTTTTTCATAACAGGCCTTGTTATGAAGTCAAACAAAGCAGAAATTGCTGTATCAATGAAACTGGGAAAATGTTGTACTAACAATTTGGTCCAGAGCCTGATACAAATAAATATGTCCAGTCAGAAGATGCCTTAGTTTTGCCAAAATGTTGAATTGTGTTGTTGGATTCCCCATCTTGAGAGACCTTGTATTGAGACAAACCAGATGACACTACAGTGGATGACACTGCAGGGCTGTCAACCCCCCAGTCCGGTGTATCACTTTCCATTGGATGATGCCATTGATTTCCCTAATACTTATCCACCGGATAGTGCGTTATCAGGTGGATGGCATTATCTAAACTACTGGGGTCAGATAGTGATTTATCAGGTGGAATGTGCCCTCCAATTTTTGAACAGTTGGAGCACATGATATTGCATTTTTCAAAAGGTGGATACATTACTATTCCTATCCACTGAATAAGTCACTTATCCACTTGATAATGCCCTTCATGATTGGTTTCCCCAAAACTTATTCTATGGATAGTGAGTTGTCCAGTGGATAAGACTATCCAACTTTTGAACAACTGACACTTGGAAGACAAGTGATAACTCATATTGGGTGCATCAAAATGATTTGGGGCTGTAAACCCCCGGTTAAGTTTTAAATTGTGCGCTTCATATCTGTTGGAAAAAACATCCATAACAAATTGAGGTATCACTATCCGCCAGGGACCCCACTCACATATTTTAATGACGGGGGGTCTGAAGGATTTTTTTGTGTCTGACATTTTGGCCAAAAGGGATTTTTTTGGGTCTATGAAAGATGCTGGGATTTTTTGGGGTCATGAAAACAACACAGGGATTTTTTTGGGTATTGTATTTTTCATCAGCTCAAATCAACAATAACATAAGTGCAATTTACTGCTTGTGTGGTGTTACGGGATATTTCTGAGATTGTAATCTATGTGAAAAGTATTTACCGGCACTCCATGCGCATCTAATCCAGAGAGAAATATTCAATCGGTCACGTAATTCAAGGCCTTTCAAGCCAGTCATCAAGACCACATTGGAAACACTGTATACAAAGTAAACTGAGGGATTTTTTTGGGTACCCAAACAAATCTCTACTTTTTTTAGCATAGACAAATTCTTAAGTTGGGATTTTTTGGGGTATAAAATATGAACCTCTGTCGGACCTCCCCATCATTAAAACATGTGAGTGGGGCCCCTGGGCTCTATCCCCTAAATTACTTACGGCCCTTTAAATTACTTTATACCTGTTAATAGTTAGTTATGAATGCTTGTTATTTTGACATGTTGTTTGCATTTTTTGTAAGTTTCCTCTTCCTCATTGGAGAGGTAGCTCTCATGGACAGACAAGGATTATCCGTGGTTCTTATGAAGAGTCCTATTACACCAAAATGGTTGTTGAAGCTCAGAAGATGTGGAAAAAGATAGAAGAAAAGGCACAGCAACAAATATTAGTTCCGTAAGTTTGAATATTTTAGTGCACTGCATTTTACCTTTGCAAACAGCTTCCTTGTTGAGTGTATTTAACATACTGAGGATCTCAGATAGATAGCATTAAACTGGACTGAGGTTTATTGGCAAGTGGTATTCTATTTGAAAATATCACATTTTAAATAACCTCAATAATGTTAGCTCTAGAATGTTAGAATATTTCTTTTCAATAGCATTGATGCTTCTTTTCTTTATTTTTTCAGTTGGGGGTGGGGGGTACACATAGACTGGGGGGGTAAGGTTTGGATGTAGACACTTTTTTGGGGGGTACATTTTTAATATGTCTGAGTTGGTTAAAACATCACTGGCCCACCTTTAGTCATAAATAATGTACAGTCCCTTAAAGAGCTCTGTAACTTAAGCAAAAATTTTAGTTATTTCATTTTATTATTTCAGTAATGTTGGAATGTTAACAGTGGAGAAAGGCCCAGGGAAAGGCCTTGACCAAATAGTAAGCTCGCTAGTTAAAGCTGGAGAGAATTTTCAAGTCTTGTCAAACAAGAAGCTTGAGGAAAAATTTCCTGAACTAAGCTTCTCACCAAATTATTCTGCAGTTCTGGAAACATCGGCAGGAGTTTTAAAAGCTGATAAATGCGTAAGAGTATTACAGGTAGGTGAAAAGGTGTTTGAAGGGATTTGTTTAATTTTAAGCTATTTCGCCACTTTGAGGTTGCGTGGGAGAGCAGGTCGAGGTGGTTGTCAAAGTGCATCATAGGACTGTTTTGGGGGACGCATTTTCAACACGGCGGTAAATTCCCACAATGCACTTTGACACCCATCTTGACCCAGTCTCTTGCACAACCTCAAAGTGGTTTTCAAATAAAGTGAGCATTACAGAGTTATTCTATTATTAATTGCACAAATGCTCAAACTCACTTTCTTGAGATCATACAGATTTTGCAATATTAATTAGTTTCTTGCCTATTGAAGATTCTAGTAAAACCTAGCAAAAGGATATTGAAACTTGCTTACAACTAGATTTTTACTTCTCAAGGAATAAGACTGTGCGACATCCTTGTTCCCTTTGCCCTGCGCCAGGGATGGATCTGACTAAGGCTTTGTGGAATGGAGTACTTCTTCTCTTTATGCCAGATCATTGCTCCAGTCCAAAACTCTTTCCCAGGGTCTCTCTCTGGGGGACAAGTAGGAGAGGGCACTGTGAATGAGGTTGGCTCCAGTCCCCTAATGCCAAATGGTTTGTTCCAGTTGTGACACACTTGTTGTGTTTCACCTACAGCGGTGACAGCTTACAGCTGTAATAGATTATTTTCTTTGTAGCTATAGGCTATGTAATGTATGGTACTATACAGTGTTATTGTATCAGTAACACCATTTTTCATTATATCAGTGGATTTTGTAAATTATTTCTTAAGGAGCAATTTCTTGAATTTGGTGGAACACTAAAAGATGGTGAGACTGTGGCTGAAGTTTGGCCTGGAGAAACAGTTACTATTAAAACCAACAATAACTTGTTTACAGCTAAAAAAGTGATAATTACAGCAGGTAAGCAAAGCATCAGCTGACATATAAACAAGATGTAATTTTAGACAGTGGGCTAAATTCTTTTATATGACAATGCTAGTTTTTTTTTCTGCAATCGGTGTCAAAATTGTTGAAACATTGTGCTCAAATGGTCAGCTTCAGAGAACAAAAGAATCCACACCCCTCCCCTGTCCCAAAGTTGGGGTGTTTTTTGTTTTCTATAGTTAGCTCAAACAGCAACATTGCATGGAGGGGATGGGGGAGGAAAAGTTATATTTTCCCCTTTTGAAGTCAAGAAAACGTCATAAAGCCCCTTTAGGGCGAACTGTCTCAACTCATTTCGTTGCTGATCGTAGCTTTTCTCTTGTGGCCTTTTCTTTTGATAGCAAGCTGTTGCTGCCAAATTGTAATTAACATATGTGTGTGTTTTTTTTATTTAGATACATCTTTAACCTTTTTTGTTGGTGAAGTTGTGGCAGCGAGCCCAAGTTTTAATTAGTTATAACTAGCATATAAAAAATTTGCCAGTCCAATGAGCAGAAGTTTTCACCTTGAACAACCTCATTCTCTTTATTGATATTATATTTTTCTACCTGCAGGTCCATGGACCAATAAGCTTCTAAAACCTTTAGGAATTACACTGTCACTCAGGGTAATTTATTATGATAATTTCATTAATAATTAATCAATTTATTTATTTGTTTATTAGCAGTTATATTTATTGTTATTTCCATTTACTACACTTAGCATTTTTTAATATCCCTGGAATTTAGTTTAGTGGCAAAATGCAAGGTGCATTTCATTAAAAAAAAAATCAGCCAGTTAAAAAGTGATATATGATCCTGTTGATGTAAGATTTCTCAAACAAGCATCAGGTCTTCTGAAAGGGGGTGTCCAGACCCCCCAGACCCTCCCCCTGGATCCACTCCTGTTATCTAACACTGTGAGTTGACACATGTATTTTGTGCATACTGTATATGTTTGTTTAGCCGGTGTGGCAGGTCCCAGTTTATTTTTTGGTTAGGTTATATATAGTGCACAAGCTGAACATGAAAGGGCTTCCTCCTTATTTTTCACCTGGTGCAATTGCACATGTCCTCAAAGTTTCTCTCTTGGCCCTGAACTTTAAATGCACATGCTAATGTTTGTTTTCTAACATAACTAACTTTTGTATATGCCACTTCCACATTTCCCATAAGGCAACTTATTTGCCCCCCAAAATTTAATTGCAAAACCTATGTTTTTCATTTCTCCTGGGTATCACAGCCGTCCCAAGAGAAATTAAAAACAATGCTACTGTAAATGATCAATTAAGCGCCACAGCTCTTATTCATTTTCCCTGTCATAGGTGGAACTAACGAACGAACTGAAACTATTATATGAACCTGGTTTGAAGAGCTTCCAACTTTAAAACTCATGAGTTAGTCGAGGTCTTATTTCTCAAAAGAGATGGTTTTGATATCTCTTTATATCAAGTGCTGTAACAAAGGTGGGGCGTTTATTTGTAAATACCCAAATTAGAGCTGTGGCGCTTATTTGAGAGCGGCGCTTACTTATTAAATTCTTTTCAGTAAAGGTGCGGCACTTTTTGAGAGCAGAGTTTATTGCTGCGGAGCGACCGAAGGGAGCGAGCAGCAACATAATCAGGATTTAAAGGAAATATATAAGGGGCGACGAATTCTCGAATTCATCACTTTTTACCACAATGCATTGCATTTAACCACACTTTTTACCACAATGCATTGCATTTAACCAGAGTGCATTGTGCCACGAACAACTCAAATAAAAACACGGGGAAGTAGTGCATCGTTCGCTGCTTTGTTCTACAGCACGGTTAGAGGTCTTACCAAATTTTAAGACACGCAGGAGTCTTTCAGATGAATACGATGGTTAACTTGGGGAGTGGATTTCAATTCAAGAGCCTTTGACTCGTCCAGGTGTTAAACCTGACGAGAAGATGATCATTTCAATGATTTGCTCTTCGACTCCGCAACACGGGGGATAAACGAATTCCAGCTTGCTAGAAGGTGATGTGAAAGTGAGAAAATGTCATGCAATGCTATTCTTAAGAAACTGTATGAGCCGAAAATGGATGTGATTTTGACCATTCGCTTCAAAATAACAGCGGAAATCGAGATAACAAAACATGTTTTGTGTCCTACTTTGCAGACCAGGACGTGTATCGGCGTTTTGAAAAGCATAATTATGTTCTTTCATTCATTCATTGCCATGGAATATGTGTTTACATTGTTTTTTCACTGTTAATAGCTCGGTTAATGCGGCTGGCGATCATCTTGCCGGCGGATGTTTTATAGAAAAGGAATAAAATGAAACACTTTTCCAACGAATCGCGTAATCAGCCTCTGTGGTGTAGTGGTTAGGTGTAGTCGCGTCCAGTCGGTGGTGCCGGGTTCGATTCCTACCGAATTATTTATTTCTACTTTCTTTTTTTTTTCCGTTTTTTGTGTTGTTGTTTTCTATAAATATATAGCTAAACAACTGTTACTTAATAAAGTGCAACAAACAGCAAGAAAAGTATTGTGTTTCCAGAGAAAATATCGTGCACCGTATATTAAATATATGGATAAACAATCTGAATTTCTATTATTTCCTACAATTTACTGTGGGAAAACCAGAGTTGATAACCACTTGATCATTTTCTAAACAGCGGTCCCGCGAGTTCTTTCTATAGACTGATAGTAATTATTCTAGTACTTTCCAACATGTAAATAGGACATTCAATGTCATTTTTGATTCTTTTAAGTCTCACTGCCTAACGAATGCCAGTATCAACAGAATGTGCCGCAGCATTACTATCTTTTAGATACCCTAGTTCTAGCTAGTAGTGGTGCTTAATCGATCATTTATAGGATGCAAAATTTTAGGGGGCAAATAAGGTGCACTATGGGAAACGTGTAAGTGGCGTATAGGCCCAGTTGCTGATGCAGTGCAATTCTTCTTGAGGATAATGATTTTTTTTTTTCTTATTTCTATTTTCTAGCCACAATTAGCTGTAGTCGTGTACTGGAAGACTAAAGAGCCTGGTAAATACAGTCTGAAGAGTGGGTTTCCCAACTTCTATGACTGTTCAGCTTCTGATGGTCGCAGATTATACGGGATTCCATCTTCTGAGTATCCTAATATGTTCAAGGTGAGAGTCCTTCAATAACCAGGTTGCAAATTTTCTCTACTGTTCGGGGGCCCTATTATAGTGGGAGTTTACTTTATTTAATTGTGTGTAATGTATTTAACTGCTTTCCACATTCAGGAGTCCACAAGGTGATAGTTAACCCATTAAGTCCCAATAGTGACCAACATTAATTTTCTCCTAACAATATCCATACATTGTCAAGAGATTAGGTTATGAGAATTAATAAAATGATCACCTAAGAGAAAATGCTTGGATCTTTTATCAAATTCTCTCAACTCATTCTTTAAGGAAATATATAGAGATCAGTTTGGAGAATTTGTATGTAGATATTGGGACTTAAAGGGTTAACTGGAAAAATAATCAGGGCTAGTCAGTTTGCCTGTTTTCAGCTGTTTCAGTCAACACGCGACCTGCGTTGTCCAAAACATTTCAGAATTTTGGGTTTTTCTTCCATGTCAATCAAACTGTTACCATGGCATCCAATTCATACTTGTCAAATAAAGGCAGTAATAACGAGCAGAAGCTGCAAAAATAAAATTGATGTTGGCGGGAATGTAGTAATTGGTTTTCACCCACTCATATCTATGCATCTTCTGGATTTCGAAGATCTATAGGAACAATTTCTCCTTGGAAATCTAAAATTGCCGTGTTTCAGTAAGCAAGTAAAAAAAACTAGTGAGCCAGATAAAAAAGTGAAAACATGCGAACTCTGAAGTTCAAAAGCAAAGAGCGTTGAAACACAAAAACACACAAAATGGATGGAAATCCACTAATCACAAACAATGACCTTTTGAACCCGTTGTAGTAAACTTCTGTTTTCTAAGAGGTCCGTAAGAAGGCATGGAGCCTTTCGATTTTGGTTAGACTGGTCACAGTCCCCTATTTTTCCGTGTGATCGTCGAGATCGAGCGCGTGTTACCGTTAATGGCGGCCATCTTGATTTTTAGATGTACCGAGGGGGAACCGAGGGGGCGGGCGTTGGGGATTAGATTTGATACTCTTCCCCAGGTTAGACTCGGTACGACTGAAAATCAAGATGGCCGCCATTAACGGTAAGACGCGCTCGATCTCGACGATCACACGGAAAAATAGGGGACTGTGAACAGTCTAGATTTTGGTTGACGTCACAGAAAAATGAAAATCGTGTTACACATTGCAGGTCGTGTTATCCGAAACAGCTGTAACAGAATATGTTGTAAAGGGAGGTGCGTTGATGTTTACTGGGCAACACATCGTCTTTTGGATCTCTAGTTCCCGTTTCAAGCCTTGCTATGGTGTTGTTTCCTTAGAACTTAGGTGTATAAATGGGTACCACGGGTGTACCACTGGGGTAAACCTTCAGTGGACTATCATTCCATCCAAGGGGGAGTGGCAATACTCCTAATCACCTAATAAAACAGAAACTGGTATAAGCTCTGGCCTGATGAGCTACTTGGCTCGTATTCAACTTAGTCTCTCTTCACCTAGGGGTACTGGAGAAATACATGTACTGTTGGGGGTAAGCCTACGATTGGTGGGAATGTAGCGCTCATGTACTCCTAGTCACTTAATGCTGTGGAAACGGGAATAAACTCTGGCCTGAATCTAATCGTCCACTTGGCTTGTATGCAGGCTTTACCTGGGGGTAAGCCTGCAGTGGGATATCATGACCCATTCAGCTGGAGTAGCAATAGTCCTAGTTGTGTAACCCTTTAGTTCATAATTTCTCCTTGTAGTATCAAGGCATGGTCACACAAGATAAATTTCCTTGATATTCAAACAATTACTCCCCTTACCTGCTAGCAAGCTCTCCCTGTATGGCAAGCGTAACGAGCCGCGAGACAACCCGCGAGCGAGTAGCAAAGCTGCGATGAGCGTAGGATAGAATGCTCCTAGACTGCGAGCAGTCTCTCTTTTTCTTCAGGTAATGCGCGCGCGCGCGAGCGTTGAGCAGCGAAGCCGCGAGACACGAGAAACGAGGGCGGCGCCTTCAGTCACGCGCGTGGTCATTTGCGTGTCTCGGGCGTTTTGCTCGACGGACCAAGAAAAAAGAGAGACTGCTTGTAGTCTACAATGCTCCAGTTTATGCACAATTCCCGCCCCTCGCACTCGCGTCCCCTTTTGCGTGCTGCTCTCGCGTGACTTCTCGCGATTTCCCCAAATGGATAGTTTGCTCCCCAGTACTTCTATAACAAATGTATTGAGCAGCATTAAATTTTAAAGGCTTGATAATAAGCCTTGATAATAATCTTGATAATCCCAGGCCGTACAAGCTTCATTGGCCTGAAGAGCGCCTTCATCTTTTCCTTAATTTATTTGCAGTTTGGATGCACAGGTTTATGCACGATTCCTGACTTGTGCAAAGAGATTGACCCAGATGGACGGGATAATGACAGAGCACTTGTTGAGATGCACATACAGAGAATAAGGGGATATGTTCAGGATCATCTTCCACATCTAGATTATCGACAGCCAGCAATTGTGGAGACTTGTATTTACACAGTAGGTGTTTTTATTTGGCTGTCTCCGTGTCAAAGAATAGGGCGGCTTTGAACTTAACAAACTCACCTTATCATCATATCATCACCATAAGTAGATTGAACTACCATGCAGTTGTACGTCGATCAAAGAAGTAATTTTGTGACGGTGTCTGGGACCGTACCAGGGGACGGTTTACGGTCAAGTCGCCCGAAAGTCATCTCGCCCGAAATCAGAGTTACGTAGCCCTAGATTTTTAGTCAAGTCGCCCGAAATGCTGAGTTTTGTTGCTCGACGCTTGTTTCGTCTCTCTCATGGAAGATTAAAGAACGAGATATATCACTCATTTATCGCGCTTGTTTCATTGTTCATCAAGGGTTAAAGAGCGAGATATATTACACATTTATACCGCTCGTTTCGTCTCATCGTTGCTTAAAGAGCGAGGTATGTTGCACATTCATTCTGCTTGTTTCGTCTCATAATGGTTTAAAGAACAAGATTGCAGAAACTCTATATTCAACAAAAATTAACTTTCTCTGTGCACTTATCCTCATAAAATTCGAGCGACATGACCCAGCATTTCGGGCGACTTGACCGGTTACCTTGGGACATAACCGAGTTATTTCCAGGTAACTCCGTAAAATTAACTGATTTGGAAAACGCGAATGCGGACCGTTTATTTAAGGTCTTAACCAATGTTTAATCGGGTTATGCAAAGTAGGCAAAAAACAGTAGAGTTTCTTAAACGGGATAGATTCTTGTAAACTATCGTCATCGTAATTGTCATCGTCAACTCATCATCATCATCATCATCATCATCATCTTTATCTTCCTCGTCATCGTCGTTGTCGTCATGATCATTAGAGAACTGAAGCAGCGACGACGAAAAAATAATTTGCATCCTTTCAAACGTTATTGCGTTTATTTGTAAGCGCTCAGTTCGTCAAATATAGGCGATTTTTTCTTGAATGGAATTATTAAGGTCTTAACAGAAAGGAAAATTCTTCGTCGTTTGTCCAGTTCCTGTACAAAACGTCGCGTTGTAGTCGTGTAGTGGACGTCAGGGTAACGTACTAAAAGCGCTGTTGTTTAGCTCATAAAACCAATTGTTTTTTACGTTGTTGTTGTCGTCATCGCCATCATTTTCATCCATTCTCTAACATCTCATCTTTTCCACACGCGCTCATCTTCTGTCGCAACACGGCAAGACTTTTCGTTCATTTTATTTGTTTGTACACAAATGGACTTAATGTCTGTTAGTTAATTATTATTTATCAGCTACTTCATTTTACTACCTACGCACACTTGTGTAAATAGGGAGCTTTAGCATCGACGAAGGCAACGGCAGCGAAAACGTCAGTTTTAAAATGAATTCCCGTTTTTTCAATCTTTGTCGCGTTTATTCCAATTTGCTGAAAATGGCAAGTGTAGGCGAATTTCCCTGGAGTTGATTTCTTGAGGACCGCAAGAAAGTTTAGAGAGAGAAAAAGAGATTCGTCGTCACTTGTTTACGTCCTCGATAAAACTTGCAATTAGGCATTTTCACGTCGTTGTCGTGCAAGGACGGTAAAGAAATGTACAAAAAAGCGTGATGCACGTGCAAAGTTGTTGTTTTGCTAATATAAGCCTATTGCGTTTATTTTATTTGTTTGTACACAAATGGACTTAATGTCTTTTAGTTAATTATTATTTATCAGCTACTTCATTTTACTACTTACGTACACTTGTGTAAATAGGGAGCTTTAGCATCGACGAAGGGCCAGGCAACGGCAGCGAAAACGTCAGTTTTGAAATGAATTCCCGTTTTTTCAATCTTTGTCGCGTTTATTCCAATTTGCTGAAAATGGCAAAGTGTAGGCGAATTTCCCTGGAGTTGATTTCTTGAGGACCGCCCTCAAGTGTAGAGAGAGAAAAAGAGATTCGTCGTCACTTGTTTACGTCCTCGATAAAACTTGCAAATAGGCTTTTTCACGTCGTTGTCGTGCAAGGACGGTAAAGAAATGTACAAAAAATCGTGATGCACGTGCAAAGTTGTTGTTTTCCTAATATAAGCCTATTGCTTTTTTGACGTCCTCGTTGCCGTCGCCGTCGTCGTTGCTAAAGCTCCCTAATATGTTGTATAGTGTGTGCTCAAAACAAACAAATGCAATTCTGTGCATATTTCATAAAGGATGTCTCTTTCTTTTTCAATCTAGCTCACCCCAGATGGGAACTATGTGTTAGATAAACATCCAAAGTTTTCAAATGTTGTCGTTGGTGCTGGCTTCTCTGGTGAGTGTTTTTGATGTAAACATGTTCACAATATTAAAGAGAGTTTTCCATGCATTATTTCAGTTCCTTTTTTCAAAGGTCTCATTTGCAAGTAAAAAAGTACGTTTTCAAACAAAACGTTAACCTCTTTTGGGCTCAACATGTGCAGCACTGTAGGTCTGTTGACTCAGAATGACGGGATCTTTTGAGGAAACGCCAGATTACCTCTTGTTTAACTCATCCCAAGGAATAGAAGTGAATCTGTGCGGGAACTTTGTATACTGTCAAACCCCGCTCTACGGACACCCGCTTAATTATTGCTGACAGTTTGCTTTGTCCCTGGGGAAAGAAAGCCCTTACATTTTCTCTAAATTCAACCTGCTTAATACGGACACCCCTTGAATAAGGACACTTTCTGTGGCCCCTTTATTGTCCGTATTATCGGGCTTTGACTGTATTATGTTGCACGTACAACGCTTGATGTAACTTGCTTGGCTGCTACACAAAACTTCACTTTTACGTGAAATACTGAATAAGATAAGACAATTTGTTCCCCAAATACTTATCCGCTGGATAGTGATTTATCCGGTGGATAGCGCTTTCCAACTCAAGGCATGGGGTAACAGCCATTTGTGTGAAATAGTCTCCACATGCCTCGACCTCATTTCATTACGTTTTTTTCTTTACTGGAGTGCAATCATTAGGCTCGATTCCGAGTCGAGGAAAGAGCGTGGGCTCATTTCCCGAACAGCGGGTGGTTATCGAGCTAATGAAATCATTGGAAAGTCTAGTTGAATTAAAAGCGTCAAAACGTAATTTAAACTGAAGTTTCACTCCTTTGTATTGACAGCTCATGGATTTAAGCTCGGACCAGTCAGTGGAAAGATTCTTGCACAGTTGGCCATGGGTGAAACACCAGCATACGATTTGTCGCCCTTCAGGATATCAAGATTTAAAACGTCCATTGGCCAGAAAGCCTCGCTATAAAAGGATCAACCTGCTATGTGTACATAAAGATTCCTCAAAGGAAGACAAATCGAAATGATTATTTTACAAGACAGAATTGACATGTATTTAAATAATTTCGTGCACAGAGGATTTGGCAACGTCGTTCCCAGGTTCTCTCCCTCCTATCCTCTCTCTCTCGCTCCGTAGGGACGGGTAGGAGAGAACCCTGGAAAACATGTTGACGATTACGGTCATCGGTCAGATGAAGGGGTCGGGACTTTGATTCTAATTATTAGTAAGAGTGCATACACGGTTTTAGATACAAACAGTGAAACGCGAGGCACAAGATCTGCATCGGTATTTCTCAATCAAACTATGTCTCACAGTAGATAGATAATAACGTTGTCAAAAAAAAAAAAATAGATTAGAGGAAGACATTCTAGAAAGTTAATTCTTTAGTCCTTTCAACTGAACGTAGTAGAATCTTCAAATTAATGCAAGTAGGCCGTTGCTAATTTCCAAACAAACTCACTTTCAAAATGAAGCCAAATGTGGAACCTTTCGTGTGTAAATAAGTTTAGGTTACATGAGATTACATTATCAAAGACTTCGCACTTAACCTCGTTTTGAAAAAGAGGCAAAGGGTAACTGAAAAATGACCTATCTATGAATTTAAACGATGTAAAAAATGCATTGCGACATTGATGTGCAATTTGGGTGTGTGTTGTGCCTGCTGGCAGGTACTTCCTTATAGCTGCCGAACTAAGGCGCACGTCTTGACCGCCACGCAAGGGCCGCCATCCTTCACTCTATCCAGCGTTCCCGCTCGAAGTCTTTCAGGTGACCTCTTTCTATTAGCCCCCCTCACTAACTAATTAGACAAAATCACCATTCCGTAGGGTGTGTAGCCAGACTTTCTGTCTTCTGTAGATAACAGATCTGATGGCACTCTTCTCACCGAGTCGACCGGCTTTATGCCTCGCTTTATCAATCTATGCATCCTTTAACTGATTCACGGTATAACAGAGTTTTGAAGAATGTGCAGATAGTGAAAAGCGATCTTGTCAAAGCCCATAAAGCTTACATTTGTTACTTTCTATCAGAAGTTCGTGTGAAAGATAATTATACAAAAAAAGAAAGTTTATCAGATCTCTAAAGTTTATGAATTGCAATTATGAATATGAGACAAAAATTCTACCAAGAAAGTGATGACATTAAATGTACTTATTTCAAAGTGCGACGCTGACATTTAAAAACGGTTTTTTTAAAATGACACACCGATGATGATTCACTGTCGACTGTACCCCCACAACTTACATATATGTAAAAGTGTTGATGGGGTCGACTCCCGTTATTGCGGACACCCTCGGGGGGAAGATTTAGTGTCCGTAATAGGGGGTACGAGGGAAAAAATTGTTTTCTCTTTCAACGTATGAAGTAATATGTAAAAGTCCCAGAAGCATTGAATCTTCTACAACTCTTTACTTCTTTTACTAAAATATGGACCATAGGACCAAAGATAGAGAGCAAAATGGGTAAAAAAAGACAATTCACCATGGAAAGGCCAGAACCGCATTGCTTGACATTGTTATTTTGATTTGCATTTCAAGTGGAATCGTTTTTCCCCAATTTTAGCCTTTTTCTCTTCATTCTATCTGTCCGCCGCAGCGTTTCAAGTGCCTACGTACCAGACAACGCCACACAGCTTGCGATGTGCTTGCGTAGCCTGTGCACGGAATCTAAAGACCTGTGGTCAGCGGAGAACTTCATCAGTGTATCAAATCCAAGATGGCGGACAAAACACGTTTCATGCAGCCTTGAAAAAATATGCCAGGAGCGAGGCACTTACGCGGCACTGTCGCTTCACGGTAATGTTTTATGGGTTTGAAATGTTTTCAGAGAATATTTCAACAGCGAAGTTTGGGCTTATGTCTTTTGACTTAACGATGCACATGTATGTTTTGTTAGGCAGCTACATGTAACTCAGACCACCGTTGCTGCATTGTTCTGTTAAAAATCCCAGGGTTTCTCGGTGTTATGTACTTGAATAAGCGTGGAAACGTCGTAGAACAAATTTTCGTTTTATTTTATAACAAAGAAAGCAGTGCAAAATTGCACACTACATGAAAAACAATAAAAAATGACACTCTAATTTTGTTATGCACCTATCAATGGTTTGCCCCAGGATGGGGGCCGGGCAACCCACGGGAAATTTGACATTTTCAGGTTTTCAAATGTCAATCTCCCCATCCTTGGGTCTCCATTGTAAGTCAAATTCCCACCCCTGGGACCTTCATAGACCTTCATAGTAAGTTAAACGAAATGATAGGCACTCACAACAAGTTTATTGCAGCACTCCTCCAGACACAACACTGATTTGAACCAACAACGATTAAACAAGATCCTCTCAAAACAATCCAAATTGTATTTCTTGTAGACAAAAATTTTTTGGGGTAGAATTATTAAAAAATTGACATAGAAAGTATCAAAAAATAAGATTATTTAATGAAGCACTATTTGTCATTGTTTGTGAGATTTGGCACAGGTTTCTGGATTCATCTTCTATGTCACGCCTGGAATAGGTCGTATTCCGCTTTCATGCAACTGATGTTTGTAACTGAGGTCCACAATTGACCAGAATTTCATTTAATTTAACATTTGGAGTATACTAGCAAATCTATAAACACAGAGAGTATCGAAAACTTGAGGCAGGGCGGCATCCTCTGAAGACGGGTAAGTAGGAAGTGAATTTTGATCTAAATGAGCTCTTGTGCGAATATTTCTTCTCAAAGCTGAAGGAAAAATACCTTATGTTATTAGAACTTTAAAGACAGAGCACTGATGGGCATAAAAAACAACATTTTTGCTTAAAAAAAAAAGCAACACGATACTCCTTACCTTTCGCTCAGACATCCTTGGACGCGGGAAACTTGTTAAGCGCAGGGAGCAAGGAGAAGGCAAGACTAGCTCTGTTTGAACAATCTGAATTATCTAGAAACCTAAAAAGGTTGTAAACAGAGTTCATACAGAGTCTTGAATTCTTGAAAAAGTCTTGAAATTTGCCCAGCAATTTTCCAGACCTGGAAAACGTCTGGAAAATAGAGATATACCATTAAGTTCTGAAAGTAATGACCCCCCAAAAGGAGTGACCCTCCAAAAGTAGCAATGAAAATTTACAGGTGTTAGCAGGGTTGTCACTAAGATTTCAAGTTTCCGGGTAAATACAACAAGTAGGCGGAGAATCAAACGGCTAGGCATTTCTTGTGGTTCTATTTTTCTTCTATTTTCCAACAAACGTAGCTGGGGGCCACTCTCCTAGTAGCCGGGGAAAATCCCCGGCCCCCGGCTCTTAATGACAACCCTGTGTTAGCAAATCCCGAAAGTATCGATTTCTGAAAACTAGTTTCCTTTTTGGAAAAAATTATGGATATGATAGATATAAAACGGTATGCCAAACTTATCTAAGGTTTGTTTTTAATGATTGTAATGATTTTTGACGTTCCCACATAACTCTTTAAGCAAATGATGTACGCTACATTTTGTTTTAAAAAGTATTCCTTTCTCTTCTGAATAACTGTTGCTTGCATAATAGGGATAACGTATTTAAACCTTTTAATCTAGTAAAAACGGCCCATGTGGAGTACACCTTTAAGCTGCCTGAAAGTAGCGACCCCCTGAAAGTAGCGACCCTCCGAAAGTACCGATAGAGAAAGGCTGCTAAATCCAAAAGTAATGAGGGTTGTTACTTTTGGAACTTTATGGTAAAGTCTGGAAAACTGGTTAATGGTTAAAAGTCTTGAGGTCTCATTTAACCTCGCCCGCACGTTTGCAGTGCAGATCATGAAGAAAGCTTGGTTCCTGTCTTTTGTTAAGGTCCATATTGATTACCTATTTGATAACCTCCAGTCTGGAAAAAGAAATTGTTGTTTTGGAAAAAAGGTCTGGAAAATTTCTTGAATTTTGGATCCAATTATCTGTGTGAACCCAGTGTAGAGTAACATTGTCAAATGTAATACAGATAATAATTATTGTAAAAGAGACAAAACTAACATATTTTTGCGAATGAATTGACATATGCAGAACTTAAAAATACAACAGTAACATTGTATAAAATCGTACTTATTTGTAGCTAATTGGCCACAAAACCACAATCTTTCAATCCCTCTGAAATTGTTCCAAAGCATGTCTAGCTCATCTCACAAGCAATAATATAATCGACATTTAATCAACATATAATCGAGGCTGTGGTTTAAATTCCTCACACTTATGCATGGGGATCAAATTCCCCACCTCCTAGAAGACTGATTGACAAATTCCCTTCCCCCAAGACAGCAAAGGTCTCAAATGCCTGGGGTATGCACAGGGTATGTTGAAGCTCTGATTTGACTTAGACAATAGTGCTATCCTTTGGGTAAATCATTTTCTATTGGATAGGTATGGGGGAAGCCAATACCATCCACTGGATAGTGATTTATCTGGCAATATCAACACTGCATGAACAAACTGACATAATGAGAAATGTCAAGGACATGAAATGACCTACTGTTAAGTAGAAATAATAGTAGACATGATTAACAATAAGATTCCTTGAAGTATATGTTGGTGTCCAAAATGTTCAATTGGAGACAAAAAGTTTTTCTATCCATGGTCACCACCTGACACCCGACTGAAAAAGTTAATTTTAAGCCCGTGCCTTTTCCGTTCAACAAATTTCAACCTGTTGAGGAATGTTCATCAATGCAAATGTTTTCTGCATATTCAACAAAGCTGCCACATCACCCACCATTTTTTTAGCTTGCTTAAAGGATATTCTTCACAAGTAACATTGGCTATTTGCTTTTTAATTTTTAGCGTTCGTAACCTCCTTCGGTCAGGGGCTATTAAAAAAGCATGGGAACCAGTATGGTTTCCAGTTGTGGAAGCTTTCTCCCCATTACTGGAGACCAAAGTAAACAGAAAAGCTGAAGCTGGAAGAATGCAAAAGATCATCTACCCCGAGGATAAATTCAGAAAGTAAGGATTCATTTCTGCAGATGTTTTAAAATATTTAAGGAAATGGCACATTTAGGAGTCAAAATAAAATTTACAAATTTTCCTTGGATGCACAAAGCCTACCCTGTCAGAAGAGGCCCTTCAGTCTTCTAAGGAAAGTGAAGAAGATCTCCCCAACCTTCAAAGAATATGTAAGGGCTTGTGCTCACAGGGTACACAAAACCAACCTCCCTGTCATGATCAGCAGTCAAGCTATCAGAAAAATGTTCATGTATTTTCTTGGATCTACATACCAGTACATGCATCATGTGACATTATATATTCTGCGTTTGGAGCGGATGCAAGGCTGGAAATCACACTGAACAGGTGCTAGCTACAACCAGTTGCAAAATAGTTGAGGCACTTTGCATTAAAATTGTTTTTACAAATACAGTGCATCACCAAGGAAGAACTCTTGCAAGTGCAAGAGATTTCCCCCTCTCCTTCTTTCATAGTTGTCCCTGCAAGTTTTGAATACATGTATTTCATGCAATTGTTACTACCTTCAATTGATAACAGGGGAGGAGGCAGGAATCATGTGAAGTCTATTTTATCAAAATTTTTTGGTTTTAATAGTTACAGTGTCTCAAGCTTTTTGCCAGCAACATAGAACCACATGATTTACATACGAAAGGCAGGAAGAACTGCATTAAAGCAGAGTTAACTTGAGCTAAACTCACCTACAATAAAAAATTATTGTTACCTTCTGGTAAAATTACCTTCAAGGGGATTAAGACAAGAGAGAAAATAATTTATCATCAACCCCAAATTTGGTGAGAAAAAGTAGGTTTTCTTTTACTACCAGTAACTCTCTTTTCCTACATATAGGTCTTCCCTTTGATTAACTCTAATAAATCTGTTTTTTTCTTCATTTTTATCAGGCAGTTCCAGGAGCAATTTCAAACCAATCAGCCATTGTACCAATGGAAAGATACAGCTCCTTCCCACTGTGACAGGTAACTAGCAATAAACACATCCTTTCTGTCAAAATCCTTTTTCAGACTTGATGTCTTTTATGGTGATCCATAGAAAGACTAGAAAGTTAGAAAATAATATTATTAACTTATATCATTGTAATAATAATTGCAAAAGTATTATTTATGCTGGGAGTGAATGATTGGTAGCAAACTATGGCTAGCAATATTTGTTGCTAGTCTGCACCTCAGTTGTTAAGCCAAATTGTTTTTGAAGCTAATACATCCCGTACGTGGGTGACTCCCGGGAGTCGGATAGTGACCTACATCATCATGAAAAGGAAATGTTTTTGTCATCCTAAATATTAACTAGAAATATGTGAATTGCAGAACCTCATGAGGTAGACATACCGGTAGTTAACCCATTCGCTCCTGGAGATTTTGCCGAAAAACGCGTTTTGAAGCTAGTCGAGTGGTTTTCTGGTCACTGTCGTGCTATAAAGAGCTAAAACTTACCACAAACCGGTTTACAGGTCGTACACTTGGCGGCCTTCTGATCCAGATGCAAAACATCAGCTTGCGAAGTTCGGGCATGCGCAGAAAGCAAAATTTCGAGATAGTTTTTGGGTTTAAAAGTGACACAGCAGTCTTGACTTTTACTTTTCGCTTTTTCTCCTCCCTTCTTTTTTCGCTTTTCTTGCCTCATTTTTTTTTCTCTTGCTGGGCATTTAGTAGGCTTCATTTTGGTGGGAAGAGTTTTTGGGAAAGCTTTTAGCATCTTAGGATTAGGTGAAAGGAAAGGTAGGTGGGCAATGGGACAAGATTTTCATGGAGATTTTCAGGTCAATGTCACGTGGTTTTTTGCTTCTTTCTCCGGTGTCCTTGACTGAATTGTGCTCATTCTGGTATGGTTTGAAAGATCTCTTCACTCTACACAAGTTAGCGAAGAAAGTTGTCCTTGACCGTTAAAACTGATGACGTCACAAAGGCTAGAAAGGACCTGGATCCGCACGGGCGGTTACAGGCGGTTCAGGGGCAAATGGGTTAATTACCATTGTCTTAGCCCATCAAGTCCATCTGCTCCTACTGAAAGTTCTCCTTTGTTTAAGATTGTAGAAAGAGATCTAAGGGATGCACCATCTTGGATTGTGTTAGACAGCATGGCCTCCTATGGGTGGTCTGATTTAGTTTGATTTGAAATTGATTATAAGCTGTATTGAAAGAACATTTAGCAAAACGGTAGCTCAGTAGCTCAACTAGGATGAAAAACACAAAATGAAGCTGTTTAATATTTATTAAGCAATGATCAATGTTCAATGTTCTTTTGGAGGTGCTTCCTGCCAATTTCTTGTTAGACAGAACCTAATGCATAGAAGACGATGCTGCATACTATATATTTGTACATGTAGTACATGATCCAAAATTGCCACCTGGGGTTGGGGGGGGGGAGAGTGGGGGGCTCTCAACAAAGATTTACCTTACCTTTTTCCGACAAAAAGGTACCCCTTTCACATACTTTCCATTGAAAAATGGTACCTTTCTTAACGTGCCCCCTAAATAAGAAAAATCCCGAAAACAGGAAACCTTCTTGTCATTTTTGTGTAACGGTTAATAAATTAAAGTGATATAGCCATAAGGTACGTTTTTGGAAACAATTTAAATTAAGGAATTGTTAAAAACTTGCAATAAATAAAATTATAAATTAATTTTTCTAATCCTTTCATAAACTTCATCTGTTCAATTCCCTACCCTTTGATATACATGTACCTAATCCCTAGAAAAAGGTACCCCTTTTGGGCGGAGCCTTCCTGTATAAAGCATTGTAGGGAGTGACCCCCTCCCCCTGGGTATTTTGTCTCTACAGGAGAGTTCCATTAGGATCAGATGGACTTTAAAGAAACTGCTCGAAATTATAATGGAGAGTTATAATTATTAAAAACGTTGTCATCTTTTTATTTGTGATATGTAAAAATATGAAGAACCTCAAGGCTTTTTGTACTGACCTTGTTCTTTCTATGGATTATCATAATTTATTTTTAAAAAGTTATAGTTTGTTTTGTTTTCAGTTTTGTAGAGACCTGTATGCAGCTTGTTCATCAGGGAATGAGTGATGAGGAAGCTGTTGAAAATGCTATCAAGACACTTGAATTTGGAAAGAAAAAAGTAGCAGTGGGCATGAGTGATGTATGCGTACTTAAGTCATTATGATGATAAACTTATAATCTGCTATAATAATATTTTATTGAGAGAGAAATTGTTTGTCATGAAGTGATGATTAAATCATAAAAATCAATGATCTGAATAAAGTTTCTTTGTGACTTTCACTGTTAAATGCAAATAATTGAAATATTGAAATATTGAAATATTTGATGTTCTCAAGTAGATTGATAGTGTCTTATCTTTCTTTGATTGATTCCCTATTTGTTATAAATGAAAAAATGACCAAAGCAAGTTTTTTTGATGCCTTATTACTTGCGTTTCTGGCGTTTCTTTACCTCTTATGTTGGTGAAATAAACTAAATAAATTCTTTCACACCTGACATTTCTGATCTTTAACCTTATGAATCCAATAAAACCAGCTGTACAGTGAAAGAGTAATCCAGAAAAATTCTTACACCCCCTGAAGCTGCAGATCTTCAATCTTATGAGTCAGTAATTTCTTTTTTCACTGAGCTGAGCCAGGCAAAGGTGAACCAGCTTGATGTAAAAATAAAACCATTCAAGTGGGTGCATATGCACATACCTGTGCATAATGTGTACTGTCCTATCACGCTGTCCTAATAGTGCTGAAATCAGGGCTGTTGATAGCCAATCAGATTAAAGAATTTTGTCATAGTTACAATTAATAGAGGTTTTTGACGGTACCTACTATGTCATCTGGAAATTAATATTTAGTTATTCCCTCTATGTTCATAGGATGACTTGGAAGTAGATGATGTCTTAAATTACAAGGACTTTGAAGCCGATTATCCCCCAGATGACAAACCACCAGAGTTGAAATAATTGGCAGGCAGTCAGCTAGTAAGATAATATTTATAACAGTTTGAAAAAGGTTGTTAGAACAGTGACCAGATAAACTTGTGACTTGCTTGCCTCAATCTGGTCAAATTGAGCTTTTTGCTTTTTATGTAATATTTTCAAATTTGTCTGCTTGTGTCAACCTAGCTAGCCTTCTATGCAGATGCCCTTTTGGGTCCTGATTCAAAATCTGGTATTACCTGACAAGCCAGTAGGACTTCTGCTTAGGAGACTTTTTTTAACCTTGAACCCTACATCTCATTTTTCTCGTAAGTCATTGTGCAAATAAATCTTGTTATATTTATTGACGATGAGACCATGGATTGTTAAAGAACTAGACACCATATTGGTGTTCACTGGGCTGCATTGGTCTAAATAAATATACATATTTTCACCAGAGTAGAAAGCCAAGGGAATACTCTACCCTACCCGGGCCTCGGCTAATCTTCATCGTTACAAATTAATCCCAAAAACTTAAAGGAGTTCAACAAAATAATCGCTAGGTTGGTGGCAAAATTTAAAAGTGGCCTTCTTTAGCCATTTGAACTTAAGATTGCAAGTTGGAAGACCTGCATGGAACAGCTATAATGTGATGACACAGTCAGAGTTCTAAAGAATTTGGTTTTGGAAGGCTTTACGATTAGCCTTCTCCCGCACGAGATTGCAGTAAAAAAATGAGAAAGGTTTGAAGAAATACACAATCAAAGTCATAGTCACAACGACTTGCAAAGCAGCATGTTCTGAAGTGTTGTATGCAGAGGGGTGGAGAAACTACTTCCCATACCCCCTGGTTGTATTCATCGGGTATAGTATGTCTGCTATCATTTTAGACTGCGAGTAGCCCTCATTATTTTGCCTCCACTACACAACCGAACTCATAAAACAACACTTGGAGGCATGGGCGCGTCGGTCAGCCTAGCCCATGAAACACTACCACTACCCATCTCCTGCCGAACTCAACCAACCATACATTGAATCAATGATCTAAACATAGCTAATTCCAAAGAATAATAAGAGAAAAATTTTGAGTACCACTGTAGACGAACGCACATGTGACTGTGGGTTTTGTCTCAGAAGGTCAAAATTGAAGAAGCTAAGTAGGATCGAAACGGGAAAATTAAATCAATGCAAACAGCGGTGATCAAAGATACCGTTTTGTCAGTATTGATCCTGGTGAGCTAAAAAGGTTTTGGTAACATTCCAAAATATCAAGGTGGGACCCCCTAGACCTACATTAAATTTTCTCCCCTCCCCCTCCCCCCTCTTCTTTTTTCGCCCTCACACCTACCGTAAGGGTTACTATTTCTACTCTCCCCAATCTTCCTCTGTCATAAAATCAAAGATGGCGGCTTCATCGTAG